AGTTTAGACCCCATCCCAATAGGATTACTTTAAATTGTACCTGTGCTTTTGTGGATGAAGTTTACTCAACATACTATACATCGCAATGTGTTCAAGACGGCAACTGGATATAACAACCGATCACACCTCTGTTGCTGTGCATAACAACACCAGACCACAACCGATAATAGTTGGATGATGGAAAATGATTTGTTGCTCGAAATTCTCTTCCCGAACGGCCCGAAAATGGTATGTGTTCTCTCTCTGTCTTTTTTTTTCTTCCATATCTCTCTTTCTCATTCCCAACAATCTCTCTCCTCTCTTAACTCTTGAAGACCCCTCTCTCATCCAGAGCTGCGATTCAACTCATCTTCAAAACCCATCTCTCATTCGCAGCTACGATTCACGGATTCAAAACTCTTTCGCTCTCTCGCTCATCGCTTTTGAAATCGGAGCAATTCAACTCTTAAAAACTCAGGTTTGTTTCTATGAATATAGATTTGTTTTTGTTTTTGTTTTTTTTTTTTTAAACTTGAATATGCATCGTTGGAAATTTTGTTTGGGGCTTATAAATTTGGATTTAAGAGTTGGATGTTAGTGTTTATTATACTTCAAATTTTCTTACAAACCAAATTCATACACCAAAGACCATATTTATGAGCTTTTGTAAAACAGAAAATGTTTATCATCTTAGGTGATCTTTATTTTATTTTATTTTATTTAAGTGCGGAGTAATCTTTAAAATATGAGACCTCCAATTAATAATAATAATAAAAAAAAGGAATCCATGATCGAATCTAATGAGCTTCATAAAAATAGTTAGTCTTCACCAAATAAGCTATTTTTGATTTCAAATCAAGACGACTTAGAGGAAATTGAAATGGCTTAAGTATTGGTTATGCAGATAAAGAAATGGCTTTTTCTTCCTCTAACAATAGCAATATTAGATTAAAACCAAGAATATGTGATTGTGGGAGAACAACTACCATGTATATCATACGAACCAATGAGAATGGAAATCAAGGACGTTTGTTCTTTGTGTGCTCATTAAAATATATAAGTATCAAGCTTTATTCTATGTCAGTATGTATTATAAAAATAATCCCTTAGTATTTGGAAATTGGTTTGATTACTGTGACTCAAATTTTCATGAATTATAGAGTAATAAGGCGCGCTGCAATTACTTCAAGTTTGTAGATGATGATGATAAGGACGTTACCTCCACAATCTGTTTCAATACTGGACCTCATCAACCTATAACAACAGAAGAACTATACGAGCTACGAATAATACTTTCTGAGATGGAAAAGGAAATGCATGACCATGATAGAAGGCTTCAAAGGATGGAGAAGAAATTGAAGGCGATGATTTATGTCATTGGGTTTTGTATGATTTTGTAATTGACGATGTAAATTTTTGACTTGTTAATTTTTGTTAGTTTTGGTGTAATCTCATGGCTTGTGGGGCTATGTTGTAATAAATTGAATGTGGGTATATTTTTGTAGGTAGACTTCTTGCTTATTTCGCATATTCTGCATAAAATTCGTGCACTTCTTACTTTGAGGTAAAACACATCCCCTTCTTAGGTTCTTTAATTTCACTATTCTCATTTAATGAAGGATTATTCTCCAGTTCTTCAACTTCCTCACCCTTACTCAATGCAGGATTGTTTGAATCAATGTCTATTGTACCTTAAGCTGAAATGCAAAGTGTGAAAGAGTATACTGTAATTTGGACCAAGGTCATGCAAAATTTAGGGGGACAAACAATTATATTTTTCAATCTTTATATAAAATTACATAAACATGCTAATATTATATAAAAAAAAACAACAGAATGGAAAACAGGGTGGAAATCAGAGTTGAATGCAAAATCAGGTTTTTCAATTTTGCTTACCTCCTAGTTTCTAACAAATGCAATTTCACTGAAAATCAACTAGAACAAACATAAACCCAAACCACCAAAAAGAGACGTCAGATTTTTTTTATTGAAATCAGACTACAATGATGTTATATAGCCAACGTTCTAATTTCATTTCAGTTTCATGTATGTGCTAACAATTACACACTGTTCGAAAAAGGAATTGATAGTTCATTTTGTATATTTTTCTTCATTACTTTGAAACTCTTATCATTCTTAAGATTACAGAATGCAAAATCAAAGTTAAAATGCACAACAAATGAAAATTAAGATTTTAAACCCCACTCAAATTATCATTAGTTCCCAAAACAGATTTAGGGACATCAGAGAATCACTCATAAACACTCATATAATCCCTACATTTCATATATATATATATATATATGAGTTCATTTGGGAAGTTGAGGTTTGGAATTTTTTTGGGTAAAATAACGACAAAAAAATACAAAAAACAAAATAGGTTTTAGCCTAATAAGACAAAATATCGCATCCAACTCATAATCATTATATTTTTTTCTCATAAAAAGTAAAAAAAAATCAAAAAATCCTTCCCAAACAAAACATTTTAACCCCAAATTAAAATAACCAAAAACACTAAAAAGTCAAAAAAAAATCAACTCACTCCCCCAAACTACCCTATATACACCACAAGCATATCAAACTGAACATCAAGCTTAACAAGGAAAAAAAAATTAAAAGAAAAAAAAAATAAAAACGCAACATTCAAGGAGTATTTCGGTGGTCGTCGATGGTCAGCGCCGGTCGCTCTCAGTTCCTCTAGGTCACTCTTCTTCTTCGCCGACTAGTTCCTCTCTCTCTCTCTCTATCGGCAGAGATTGACGGACGGCGAACAGCACAGTGAGTATTTCGCTGGTCGTCGGTGGTCAGCGCCGGTCGCTCTCAGTTCTTCTTCGTCGACTAGTTCCAAGGAATGGCAATGGGGCTAATGGGGTGGATATTAATTCTCCATCCCCATTCCCCTATAATAAATTTTTCCCATTCCCTATTCCCCATGGGTACCACCCTCCCCATTTTTTAATGGGTATGCATTTTTCCCAACCCACTTTAATCCCCATTTTTATTTTTTATATTTAATGTTAACAACCACTTTTTTTTTTTTTTAAGGTTCACAACAAAAACTAAATATAAATTCAATCTTTTTTTTTTTTTTTTTTTTTTTTTTTTTTTCAGGTTCCCACCCAACTTTTTTTTTTTTTTTTTTA